CTCTTATGATCCTTTGTATTTCTGTGGTATCAGTTGTAATATCTCTTCTTTCATTTCTAGTTTTATTTATTTAATCCTCTTTATTTTTTCTGATGAATCTAGCTAAAAGTTTGCATATTTTATCTTTTCAGAAAACCAATTCTTAATTGCATTGATCTTTTCTATTGTCATTGTAGCCTCTATTTTACTTATTTTATTTCTGATCTTTGTGTTTTCTTCCTTCTATTAACTTTGGGCTTAGTTTGTTCTTATTTTTCTATTCCTTTAGGGGTAAAGTTAGGTTATTTGTTTGAGATCCTTCTTCTTTCTTGATTTAGGCATTTTTATTGCTATAAACATCTCACTTGGGACAACTTTTGTTGCACCTCATAAGTTTTGGTGTGTTGTCTTTCTGTTTCCATTTGTCTCAAGGTAGTTTTTTTTTTCTTTTCTTATTTATTTTTGACACATTAGTTGTAGAGTAGCATGTTGTTTAATCTACATATTTGTAAATTTTTCAGTTTTATTCTTTTAACTGATTACTAGTTTTATACCATTGTGGTCAGAAAAGACTTGTTATGGGCTTAACATATGACCTATGCTGGAAACTGTTTTATGTGTACTTTAGAATCCATATTCTGTTGCTTTTAGATAGAATGCTCTGTATATGTCTGTTAAGTTCACCTGATTTAATGTGTCATTTAAGGCCAATGTTTCCTTATTGATTTTCTGTCTAAATGATCTATCCATTGATGTGAGTGAGGTATTAAATTTCCCTACTAGTATTATTTTGCTGTCTATTTCTTTAGGTCCATTAAATGCTTTATATATTTAGGTACTTTTGGGGGGAGTGTATAATTATTTACAAATGTAATATCCTCTAGTTGGATTGATTCCTTGGTCATTGTGAAATGACCTCCTTTGTTTCTTATTATGGTCTTTATTTTATGGTCTATTTTTACTGATATAAATAGCTACCCCAGCTTTTTTGGTTTTCATTTGCATGGGATCTGTATCTTTACTTTCCATTTCTGTTTATTCCTACATTTTAAAGAAGTCTCTTGTATGCAACAAAGACAGTCATTTTTCACTTAATGGTGGGGATATATTCTGAGAAATGCATCATTAGGCAATTTTGTCATTGTGCAAACATCATAGAGTACACTTACACAAACCTAGATGATATAGCATACACCATGATCAAGTGGGATTTATTTCTGAGATTCAAGGTTGGTACAATATCTACAAGTCAATTAGCATGATATACCACATAAACAAAATGAGGATAAAAATCATATGATACTGGCATAAAAATAGATAGGCAGACCAGTGGAATGGAATAGAGAGCCCAGAATTAAACCCACACATGTACTGCCAATTGATCTTCAACGAGGGTGCTGAGAATACCCAAAGGGAAAAGAATAATCTCTTCAATAAACAGTGTTGGGGAAATTGGATATGCACCTGAAAAGAAATCACCTCAAAATAGATTAAAGATTTAAACCTAAGACCTGAAATTGTAAGAATTATAGAAGAAAACATAACCAGTCCACAAGGCATCTCCAAATTTTAAAGTACAAGTTTGGGGTTTTATTGCTTTTCTAAAAGTTCTATTTAATTTGACTCTTTGCTTTGAGTGTGCATTGATAAAGACCTTTGAATAGCAATTTGAAGGAATTTAATATGATTGAACCATTCAACTTTCATTGTCTCTTCTCTCTCTCTCTTTCTCTCTCTCTCTCTCTCTCTCTCTCTCAATAGTCCTCCTGTTTGCCAGACAATCTACTGCATAAAACACAGAATTGCTTGCCCCCTTTTAAGTGAATATAAATATTTTTATAAGAAAGATATAAATAAATTTTTTGGAAAGTAGATTCTCAAAACATGTATATAAGCAGGAACTTAGCTAATGACAGTAAGGTCCGATAAGTACTTATATGCGGTAATTTTATAAACGATAAACTATCGATGGATTCACCTACAGATCGCTAGTTCTTTCACCTTTTTCTAAGAAGACTTATGGCATATAAATTGTTTTTATATATGTTTCACATAAAACTATGTCCTCTTATTACATACAACTAGTAGCCTGGTGCACAAAAATTTGTGCACTTGGGAGTGAGGGTGAGGGGTGGGGCCAGACCCCTCAGCCCGACCTGCACCCTCTGTCATGTTCCGGGACCCCGGCCACTCCTGGCCTAGGCACAGGCCTACAGGCTTGGGGCGGCCTGGCTCCCGAGGCCCCATTTTATTAAGAGAACAAAGTTGGCGTTAGTTACAGCCCTTACCGAACCCAGTACACTGCATCTGTGCATACAACTGCCTCGTTCATGTGCCTGCTTCGCCCTACTGAATTACTAACATCTTGAGGACATAGCTCTGTCTTATCCTGCTTCACCTTCAGTGCCTGGCCTGGTGCCAGGGACCTGAGAGGGTTTGCTGAGTGAGTGAATAATGAGTGAGTGAATGAGTGAATGAATGAGCAAGTAAGTGAATGAGCAAGCAGCTACCAGTCGGGATAGCTCGCACTCTGCTCTGGGTTGCCTGACGCAAACCCCAGGAAGTTCCCGCCCTGCTCCCAGCAGCCCCACTCCACTCTCCCAGCTGCATAGTTCACACAGGGCAAAGGCGGCCCAGGTGTGCATGTTGGCAGATGGGTGCATTAGCACCTGCCAACCCGGGATCCCCGCAGGAGGGCCGTTTGTGGGCGTGGCCGGTGGTGGATCGCTGTGGTCCCGCCTGCCAGCCCTGGGTCAGGTCCCATACGGGTCGCCTGCCTCCCAGGTCACAGATAGCAGGCCCGGATGGCAGCGGGGCAGGTGGGATGGCGCTGTCTCCCCCTGCCTGCAGTATGCAAATTATCTGCCATCTTGGTTGGCAGTTAATTTGCATATCGTCCTGATTAGCCAATGGGAAGTGTATCGGAAGTACGGTTAATTACTCTATTTTTCTTTTATTAGATAGGATAGGCTGTGCTAATGAAATTGCATTAGCATCTGTCAGCAATCCTAAATAAAGTGAATTGTCAAGTAGAAAACAACTTCTTCCCTTAAATGTTAAACTTGCAAAACTAGACTTTTTGGTGGTTTTTTTTTGTTTCCTTATTCTTTATATCTTCACTTTTCTATAAAAAAAAGTGAATTGTTGATTAATGGGACACACTCACAAATGACTCTTTAGAGAGATAGCTGTTTCAATAAAGTTATTTTTTCCCCATCTCTCATTTTTTGGAGGACAATCTGACACTGCTACTTTTGTATTTTTTGTCTCTGTCTGAAATCATTTATCTTCTATATATCTAAAAAGAAGGTGGTGGGGGATCCAACAGGAAAAAAGACCCCTGCACTGTAAAATACAAATTTTAAGAGAAAAATATCCCAAACTTCTTCATTATTCTATTTTCCATTTCCCCTTCAAGCCACCTCATTCAGGTACCACTTTAGTGATTTCCTAATTGCCAATCAAAGGCTGCTTTTCATTCTGTTTTATTCAACTTCTCTGCAGCATTTGACACTTTATTACTCCCTTCCTCTTGAACTGTTTTCTGTGGCTCTAGCTCACCTCTCTTTTCTACTATTGGTGCTTTTAGAATTCTGTGCTTGACTCTCTTAAATTTTCACATTACATATTTCCTCTAAATTATTTATTTAATTTGTATGTCAATATCTACCACCTACAGACTGGCAACTAACTTAGTTGCAGAATTAATTAACAATTCACTGAAATAATTAAATATCAAGGAATTAAAATGAATGAACCCCCTGACTAAATATAGAATTGTCACTAAAATACAGGTGTTCAGCTCAATTTTAATTTTCCCAGCTGCAGGAAAAGCACAACAAATCTCATGTGTGCATATATTGTGTTCCCTTGGCTTTTGAATAAGTGTGGCTTATCCATAATCTCTCTTTTTGAATGACCTCTCCATGCCTCTGACTCTCCTCCACCTTCAACCACCTGGAAAATGCCTACTTTTCAGTGAAAAGTTTCCTTGTTGCTACAGAATTCTTGTGAACATATGTATCTTGGTTCCTATTAAACTTTATTTGTCTGTATCATCCTACAAGATTATGTCTTTCAAAGTCAAACATCACATATTATTTAGTGTTTCATCCCCCAAATTTAGGACAGTACCTCATACACAGTAAAACTTAAACATTTATTTATGTGAGTAAGTGCCTTCCTATAATTCTTTTTGGCCCCATAGTTTAGACTTTCTAATAGAAGCCAAGTAAAGTGTTCATGTGGTTATTTTGCTCTCTCTGAAATGTCCTCTTCCCCCCATATTTTACCTCATGTAAAATTATATGAACACCTTTATACATTCACAATACAGGAAAGATTCCAGGAATTTGAGATTTTTAAAATTACATATTCAAAATAATGGTAAGAACTGCTAATTAATGTAAATATACTTTCTATTTGTTAAAAATATAGTAATTAAAATGTCACAACTGTTGCATTCTCTATTTGCATAACATAATTACAATTGCAGGTAGAACTATGAAGAGTTTTTTTGTAATTGCTTGGCATAACACAATTGTAGTTGCATACCTTTACCCACTTTCTTTTCAGGAGCAGTTTATGGAAGAGAGAAACTAAAATAAGTAAAAAGAATGAATTTAGCTATCCCTTGTGGGCAATGAAAATCCACAATGGAAAATATAGATCTTCTTGATCTTTCCAACTTATCACTGATCATTAGGTAACCCAAATGATGAATTTTTCTTTCTTCATTGAGGATATAAAAAAGGTCACCATCAAGTACAATTTTGTAATCATTTTCAATGAATTTTTTAGCCTATTGCATATAATCAATGATTATCAAGGGAGTTTTTTTTTATGTCAAAGGCTAATTGAATTTTCATCCATACACCCTTTGGATCCTCATTACTTCCTTCTTCATTCCCTTTGACAGCTATTTGTAGTGTTATCATATAGCAGGGTAGAAATGATTAGGATGATCTTTTGCCTTTGATAACCCTTAAATAACTAACCTGTATATGTTTCCTCTCTGCTAGCTCCAGACTTGGATTTAGAAATTCAAGTAAAAATCAATAGATTACACGGGATCCAGATTAAATGTTCCTCAGGAGGATGGTTCCCGCAGCCTCAGATGCAGTGGGTTAACAGCAGAGGAGAATTAATTCCACTTTCATCAAAATCTGAGACACAGGATGAAGCTGGTCTATTCCATATGCATATTACTCTTTTCCTTGAAAAGTCCCAGGGAATGATCACATGCTGGCTTCAGCATCCAGTAACTGGCCAAGAGAAAAGGACAAGCATTCAGATGGCAGGTATGTGCTAAGAGATGGATTCCCCCATGATGACCATTTCAGAAGCATTATGAACTAAGGAGAAACCAAACAGGCATGTTGAGTCATGTAGCTTAAATTTACATTAAGCCTTTGGAAATAATAACAGTGCCAGATACTAAAAGGGAATTTAATGTACAAGATATAATGATGATGATGATGATGATGATGATAATAATAATAATAATAATAATGATAATTTTCTGCCCAGCATGATCCAATTTTAAAAGATTTTAAAATATTGAGCTCATTCAATTCTCAGGTATTTTGGGACCCCTCTTTCTACCTAGGTGATGCCATCTCAATTTTCTCACTTTTCAAATGAAGATAATTATTAAGTCATTGAAAATTTTGATGGAAAATTAATATAAAATACATTTTCCAATTGTAAGTCACTAGACAGAATATTTTAGCATAAATATTTAATAAATGTGACTGGATGAAGGCTCCAACTCAAAGTGTTGAAGTTGAGTCATCCAATGTCACAACATTACTGAGTGGAAGATCAGAAAATAATTCATCTGACTTTGAGCCCTGTTCACTTTCCCAAAAATAAGAGAGAGATTTCTGTCATGGGTTGCTGTGGAGAAAGGATCTTAAAAGGTAACTTTAGAACAGCAGTTCTCAACCTGTGGGTCGCAACCTCTTTGGCAGTCGAACGACCCTTTCACAGGGGTCGCCTAAGACAATCCTGCATATCAGATATTTACATTATGATTCATAACAGTAGCAACATTACAGTTATGAAGTAGCAACAAAAATAATTTTATGGTTGGGTCACAATACAAGGAACTGTATTTAAAGGGCCAGAAGGTTGAGAACCACTGCTTTAGAGTGTCCATTTCAGCATTAAAAAATAATATAAAACGTAGATATGAGTACTGGAGCCTGAGAGCAATGGGATTCATCTCAAGTTATTCAAGACATACCTTTCCCCCCCTATAAATACCTATGGAAAAATCATGAGAATATAAAATAAACATAATCAATTTTTTCCTTTTATTTACACACTAGAGGCCCAGTGCATGAATTCGTGCATGGGTAAGGTCCAGCTGGCCCGCCCTGATGGGGGCCAATCAGGACAGACCAGTGGAGGGGGAGGGGCCGTGGGCAGTTGGCCAGCCAGCGCCAACACCGATTGGGGTGTTGGAGGCCGATCGAGGGTGAGGCCAGCTCAGGGGAGGGCCTGCGGGTGGTTGGCAGGCCAGCCCTACCCCCGATCTGGGTGTTAGGGGCCGATTGGGGGATGGGCTGGCTGGGAGGGAGATCAGGGACTGGATTAGGCCATTTAGATGCACAGTGCATGTCATAGCTACTAGTTGTTCTGGTCGTTCTGGTTGTTCCACCATTCCAGTTGCTGGGCTATTATATGTAGAGAGTAGTGTCCTGGTGCAAGGATTTGTGCACATTGAAAATAAATTAATTAGAAGGTGACTGGTAGGGCAGGACTGGATGAGATGGGACAAACATGCCTTGGAGCCAACCTCCCGTGGTCTTTCCCTAACCCGCTACACCTGGGGTGGCACCGTGGCTCCAAGGGCGTCTGCAGAGTGAGCGGGGTCCCTCCAGCAGGTGGGGTCCCTTAGCCTGGCCTGCAGGGATCAGACCAAAACCAGCTCTCCAACATCCCCTGAGGGGTCTTGGATTGGGAGAGGGCAGTTCTTGGGTGACGCACTCCAGAATCAGGCGCCCTCATCTCTGATTCCAGGTGTATCACCGGAGAACCACAGCTGAAACATGCTTCCAGCCAGCATCCACTGGGAGCTTGGGTGGCTGGGGGCCGTTGCCAGCCTGCAAACAGCCATCATCCCCTCACCCAGGCAAGCCAGGCACCCCAGCAGGACCCCCTACCCTGAAGAGGCTGTGGCCAGCCTGAAAACAGCCATCAGCCCCTCACCCAGGCTGGCCAGGCACCCCTGCAGGACCCCCACCCTGATCCGGGTCACCCTTCAGGGCAAACTAGCTGGCCCCCACCCATGCACCAGGCATCTATCCTATAGAATAAAAGGGTAATATGCAAATTGACCCTAACAACAGAGCGACTTGGAATCACTGGTCACTATGACACACACTGACCATCAGGGGGCAGACGTTCAATGCAGGAGCTGCCCCCTGGTGGTCAGTGTGCTCCCACAGGGGGAGCTCTGCTCAGCCACAAGCCAGGCTGATGGCTGCCAGTACAGGAGTGGTGATGGGAGCCTCTCCTGCCTCCTCAGCAGCACTAAGGATATCCGACTGCAGCTTAGGCCTGCTCCCCGCTGGCAAGTGGGCATCTCTCAAGGGCTCCTGGGCTGCCAGAGGGATGTCTGACTGCCAGCTTAGGCCAGACCCCCAGGGAGCGGTCCTAAGCCAGCAGGTGGTTATCTCCCAAGGGGTCCCAGACTGCAAGAGGGCACAGGCCGGGCTGAGAGACCGCCCCCCCCCCCCCATGCACAAATTTTTGTGAACCGGGCTTCTAGTGTGGCTAATATAAAGCAAAGAGAAATACCTCTTGGCAGCTCTTGGCAGCCTTTCCCAAATTTAGACCTACCCCCAAGTTTCCAAACCATTCCAAAGCCTCATATTTGCACATAACTCTGTTTTACTCCCATCCCTGCCATCTTAGTACTGAACTGGACTAAGATGGCACAGGGCAATCAAAGACTAGAAAAGATACTTTATTAGATGGTCACTACTAATTTCCTAATGGTTGTGTTTTCCTTTGCTGTGTTTCAGATATTCTAATCCAGCAGCATCATTTTCAGAAGGAAGTTACTTATACTAGTATTATTTCTTTGTCTGTGGTCTACGGGGTTTCAGTCATCCTGTTTTTAATTGCTTATTGGAATTACAAATATAGAGGAATATCAATTTTAAAAGGTAAGACCTCTAGGAAATATACATGAACATCACTATTAAGACTCTCTTGATGATAGGAAACAATTAAATTAAATTTTAAAAAAAGACTGTTTTATCACTAAAGTTGTAAGAAATATTAAAAATCTGCCAATTACTTCTATGTATATTCTAAAATAAAACTTTTGTGGTATTATACTATGTTAGTACAGTTTTGGTAATATTATATTTAAAATCATTTTCTTGAAATATTAATGTTTATTACATGTAAGATTATATTGAAAATCACTTAAAGATAAAATAAATAAGTAAACTCATGAAAATTTTTTTAAAAGACTCTCTTTAAAAAAAAAATAATAATCGTGCTGTGGCCTCAGAGAGGAATGGAAAGTGATAGAGAGTTAGAAACATTGATGAAAGAGAAACATCTATCAGCTGCCTCTTGCACACTCCCCTCTGGGTATGTGCCTGCAACCAAGGTACATGCTCTTCATCAGAATCAAACCTGGGATCTTTGAGTCCACAGGCCGACACTCTATCCACTGAGCCAAACTGGTTAGGGCTAAAAAGACTCTCTTGATAATTACTATGATCTTGTAAAAGTCAACTTGGAGGTTTGGCTGCATAGATATAAGTCACTAGAGAAGTTACAATTTAAAATATGAAGTGTCGACTAAAAGGATCGAGAGGGAAGATGGCGGCGGTATAGGCAGACGCGTCCCAGGTCGTGTCCCGGAGCAAATGGAATGAGCAGCTGAAACTAGTAACATCCACCCCGAATTGGCGAAATTCCTCAGCTGGCGAGACGGTTTGCAGCCGGGAAGAGCAGAACTCCCCTGGAAAGGTAAAAAAAACCAGGGATTTGGGCAGGAAAGTTTGCCAGACCTCTGAGCCCAGAGAGTTGGAGGGAGACCGCGTGGCAGACAGCCGCGTCCCTTGGGACAGGCACAGCCCCTGACGGGGGGGAAAGGAGAACCGCGGGATTCCTGGCGCCGCCTGGGGAATTGCGAGCTGGGTTCTGTGATCACGGAGGACTGAGCCTAAAGGGGGCAGCCTGAAGAGCTGACCAGACCATGCAGTCCCTGTAAGAGAAGAAGCTTACAGAAACCAAGCCTTCCCCGTTTCCATGGCCGGCGTTTGTTTGTTTTCACTGAATCCTGTTCATGGGACATTTCAGATACAGACACTCACCTGTGCTGAAGAGAGGGAGAGTGTGCGGAGGAGTGGAATCTGGGGAGAGACTGAAGAGAGAAGGGGGGCCGGGAGAGGTGGCAGCGAATTGAGTGCTGAGACACCCCTGAGCCCAGGACTGGGGCAGCCATTCTCTCCGGAGAGTGAGACCCCTCCCCCCAGCCCCCAGGCAAGGAGCACAGCCACACCCAGATTCCACCCTGTAGGAGATCAAGGATTAAAATAACCTGATCAGTCCCTGGGAGTTAACAGGGTCTGGCCTATAGAGGGATTTTCAATCCCAGCAACAACACAGCACTGGTAACTCTTACGCAGCCAGCTCTGGGCAGTGAACTTCCACTGGACAGAGAGGCCCTATAGCCTCAGAGGCCAACCCCAGAACACTGCCACCCAGAGGCTGACCCACAAACTGACTCTGTGCTAAACACAAAATAAGGCAGTCTGGGAAACAAATGCGGCTTGCTTTAAAATAAGGACTGTGGTTTACAACACAGAGGAACAGGGTATCTCAGGGAAACTCAACACTCTCCTGAATACCTGGCAGGTCTAAGGCGAGCCACACTGAAGAATAGAAGAACCGAAGGACCTTCAATACTGCAATATTTTTTTTTTTTCTTTTTTCACCTTTTAACTAAGAAACCAATTTTTTTTTCTTTTTTTTTCTTTTTTTTTTCTTCTTCTTCTTCTTTTTTTTTTTTTTCCTCTTCTTTTTTCCATCACCTGATTTTACCCTTTTAATTACTACCTTCTTATTTTTAACCAGCATTATTACTGCTACCATTTTACCATTTTTTTTTTAAAGTGCCATTTTATTTTCTCTTTATTTTATTTTGGGATTAGTGTTCTCCATTCTATTTTCATCGTTATATTATTGGTTGTTTCTAGTTTGCATTCATCTCCAGGGAGTTGTTGCTGGAATTTGTTGGGATTAATGGCTGTTCTATAGGAGTATTCTCCTCATATAAAAAAGTCTCTTCCCCTCTTCCACTTCATTCTCTCTTTTCGCTCTTTTTTTTCTTTTTTTTTCTCGCTTTTATTTTCCCCCCTCCTTTTTCCCAATTTCATTTTTGCACTCCTTTTTTTGGTCCCTAATTTTCTTTTCTTTTTTCTCTTTTCTCTTTTTCTCTTCCTTCTTCCTTATCCCCTAATTCTCTTAATTCAGGTGGTCACCTTTATTTGGGGTTATTAATATTGCGAATATATTTGTGTATAGTGCCTGGTACGTGGTGCCTTGTTGTGTTGTATTTTGTGCCTTTAAAACAACGCAGCAGATCCAAGCAACAGCAACCTCCTGAGCACCACACCCTCTGCTGAGGAAGAGCACCTGTACGTGAAACCTTGCCCCACCAGCCAGAAGAGCCACCACAGCTGTGAACAGCACCCACCAGAGGAGCTGCTGCCAACGGAAGAGCAACTGCTACCGCAACCGCCCGAAGAGCAACCACAGACCAAGGAGTCACTGCCACCAAGGGAGCAGCCACTGAACGACTCAACGTCTAGATATGTCAGCGAGATCAAACATGGGTAGACAAAGAAACCCCCAAAGGAAAGAGAAGGAGGACTCTCCAGAAAAGCAGCTAAGTAATACAGAGGCATGCAACATGACGGAAAAAGAATTCAGAATAAGGGTCCTAGAGTGCATAAACCGGATGGAGGAAAAAATCGACAACCTCTGCAAGAAGCTAGAAGAAACAGATGAAAAAATCAACAACTTAAGTAAGACCCAAGAAGAAATGAAGAGTGATATAGCTGCAATGAAAAACTCCATTGAAAGTATCAACAGTAGACTAGGAGAAGCGGAGGACCGAATTAGTGATTTAGAAGACAAGGAAGCAAAACACACCCAAACGTACTGCAATTGGAGAAAAAAATGAAAAGACAGGAGGAGAGCCTAAGGGAGCTTTGGGACAACATGAAACGAAACAACATACGAATAATAGGGGTACCAGAACAACAGAACGATGAACAAGGATTAGAAAACCTATTAGAAGAAATAATATCAGAAAACTTCCCTGAGGTGGGGAAGAAAAAAGTCACACAAGCCCAGAGAGTCCCAAACAAGGTGAACCCAAAAAGACCCACACCAAGACACATCATAATTACCATGGCAAATGTTCAGGACAAAGAGAGAATCTTACAGGCTGCAAGAGAGAGACGGAAAGTTACATACAAGGGATCTCCCATTAGATTGTCAAATGATTTCTCAACAGAAACACATCAGGCCAGAAAAGAATGGACGGAAATTTACAAAGTGATGCAAAGCAAAGGACTGAATCCAAGAATACTCTATCCAGCAAGGCTATCATTCAAACTTGAAGGGGAAATAAGAAGCTTCACAGACAAAAAAAGGCTAAGGGAGTTTATCACCACCAAGCCAGCAATGCAAGGAATGCCAAAGGGACTGGTATAAAAATAAGAAATAAAAAGCTCAGAAAGAAAACAGCCACACAAAAACAGAAATGCCTACAAACAAATACCTTTCAATAATAACTTTAAACGTAAACGGACTAAATGCTCCAAACAAAAGACATCGAGTGGCTGAATGGATAAAAAAACATCACCCATACATCTGCTGTCTACAAGAAACCCACCTCATTAGAAGGGACTCACACAGACTGAAAGTGAAAGGTTGGAAAAATATCTTTCAGGCAAATGGAAAGGAAAAGAAAGCTGGGGTAGCAATACTTATATCGGACAAAATAGACCTCAAAGTGAAGGCCATAACAAGAGATAAGGAAGGCCACTTCATAATACTAAAGGGATCAATACAACAAGAAGATATAACCCTGGTAAACATATATGCACCCAATGCAGGAGCACCCAAATTCATAAAAAAACTCCTGGAAGATATCAAAGGAGAGATCGACAACAATACAATCATAGTAGGGGACTTTAATACACCACTGACAGCACTGGATAAGTCCTCTAGACAAATAATCAGCAAAGATACAGCAATCCTAAATGACTCACTAGATCAGATGGACTTAATAGACATCTTCAGAACACTTCACCCGAAAGCCAGGGAATATACATTCTACTCAAATGCTCATAGGACATATTCAAAAATAGACCATATATTGGGTCACAAGCAAAGTATCCCCAAATTCAAGAAAATTGAAATCATAAAAAGCGTCTTCGCAGACCACGATGGCATAATATTAGAAATAAACTACAATAAAAACAACCCAAAATACTCAAACACCTGGAAGCTGAATAGCATGCTATTAAATATTGATTGGGTTACCAATGAAATCAAAGAAGAAATTCGAAACATCCTGGAAACTAATGACAATGAAAACACAACAATCCAAAACCTATGGGACACAATGAAAGCAGTCCTGAGAGGGAAGTTTATAGCTCTACAGGCCTATCTCAAAAAACAAGAAAAAATGGTAGTAAATCATCTAACTCTACAACTCAAAGAATTAGAAAGAGAGCAACAAGAAAACCCCAGAGTGGGCAGAAGGAAGGAGATAATAAAGATTAGAGCAGAAATAAATGACATAGAGACCAAAAAAACAATACAGGAAATCAATGAAACCAAGAGCTGGTTCTTTGAAAGGATAAACAAGATTGACAAACCTCTAGCCAGACTCACCAAGAAGCAAAGAGAGAGGACCCAAATAAACAAAATCAGAAACGATAGAGGCGAAATAACAACAGACCCCACAGAAATACAAATGATTGTTAAAAAATACTATGGACAGCTCTACTCCAACAAACTAGACAACCTGGAGGAAATAGACATATTCCTAGAAAAATACAACATTCCAAAACTCAATCAGGAAGAATCTAAAAATCTCAACAGGCCAATAACTATGGAAGAAATTGAA